AAAAAAGATTCCCCTCCATTCAAAATGCACTAATACAACTTGCTAGACCAATTAACTATTTCTGGACAATACAAAAAATACATTAGACAAACAAAGCGCAAGTAGTGCAAATGAAAAGACTTAAGATAGGCCTAATGAATAAATAATACATGAAAAAGTTCGAAATAAAGATGGGCATTGTACGTGAAAATAAATTTTAATTATATGAGATATAAAGAAAATTAGCTTTACGGCATTATAACGTGTTACATTATCGTCTCTACCGCAATTTATACAGGGTTGCGATAAAATCCAACAAGCTATTTTCTGTGAATCTAATTAACTTATTGTGAAGGTGAGGTGAAGTGAAGTGATAGTGAAGAAGGATAAAAGCCTTCTTTTTTTCTAAAATGTTATTAATATATATTACTAAATAATAAAAATCACATAAAACAGAAGTAGATTAAACTCAGATAGTTTTGTCGGACACTCAATCATCCTCTTGCGAGAGTGTGATAAACAGAGAGTGAGGGAGAGAGAGGGAGAAAGAGAGAGAGAGCAGAGCGTGAGTGAGTGAGAGGGGGGTTGAGAGATGGAGAGGGTGGTGAGAGATATACTTTTAAAAGCCGTGGTTTATTTTTGGCAATAAATATTTTCTTTATCGAACAACGTAATGATAGCGAGGTTCTGAATATAAATGTGCTTAACGGCGGCTGCTTTTTTTCCTGGCGTTTTTTTTCCGCAACTCTAGTAGACAATATGCAAGGCATGTGTTCCGTTAAATGAAGGTTCGAAAATATAAGTTATAGTACAGTTTGTACACAGTTTGTGTTCACTGGCTCTGTCACTTAGCCTTATGAATGCATTCTTTACGATTAAATTTGATCGGGTGTTTTTAGAGTTTTATGTTTGTTTTTTCAAAAACAAACAAAACTATGGATTTTCATTTAAACAGTACATGGATCAAAATACAAAACCTATCCTCCGATAATTCCAATACCGATTTAGACCAACCAACGGAGATCAGGGAGTGCACGAACAGTTGCAGACCACACGCTAAGAAAATTAATTACAGATCGCTACCTATAAAACCGGAAACGAGAGTATGATCGTTGACATTGTTGAGTTTTAAGCGTAATTTCTATTTAAAAAGAACGCATTCAATGCTTTCTTTCTGCCTTTATTTATTCTTATCCACGGAACCTTCAACTATAAAATAAGTTCATTATCGAATATGGTATGGTTAATGAAATTTATTTGCATTAATTCTTTTGTTTTCCTAATTTTGTTCATCATGCACAACTTTATTGATTAGTTTAAGAGAAAATATATTGCTGCCAGATTTTCTCTCAATCCTGTATATTATCACAAAGGTTATTAACTTATAGACCAGCTATACCTACTACATTATCGAAATATAAGTGTTTTTGACCTATAAGAAAAAAAATTATCAGAATTATGCTACGTTTTATATTAGACATGTACATTAAAAATATATTTGTGTCAAACTTGCAAACCGACGCGATTAATGAATACTATTGTGTTACAGTCCATTTTTTATATTTTTCGGTTTAATCATAGAAAGCAAAACTACAAAATTATATACAAACTTTACATCTAAATTAAAATAAATTAAGCACAACAAAATCTACATAACATTAATAAGCAATTGTACCTAAGCAGATCAGTTTGTTAATTTTATTAATACTGGAAAATACATTAAGTGACGAATAAGTAAAGAAAAAATGAATAACTAAATTAGATCTTACAAATTGTGAAAAATATATAAACTGAAACAGGCACGTTCATTTATCCCCCAAAAATTACGAATTGTTTTCGTTCAATCATGTGTTAGCGACTATAAACATATTAATGTTAGGTTAATTTTGAGCATGAGGGACAATAAAGCAGTTACGTAAAAAATTACACTGCACTGCTAAATTTTTAGACATATACCGTTCGGGCGTGCATAATAAAGTATTAAGATCTAACAGATCTCAAGTCTATAGAAAAGTTGTGCAGTTACAATTGGAGTTAAAGTAAAAAAGTAATCAGATTTACAGAAATGGCAATGGAAAGATCTTGAGCAACGATCATAGCAGAAGAAGGCACACAAACACAATAGAAGGGTAAATAGACTTTGCAACCTTATAACTCACTCTCTTCAACATAGTGGTCAGGGTAAGCGATAGCAAAGTAACCCAATTTTCAACATTAGCTGATGCAGATATACTATTCAGAGGAAGAGATAAAAGTCTGGAAAAAGTCGTAATAACGACTAGAAGACTATAAGTTAGAACTGCAACAACGAAAAGCAGAATAGAAATTAATCACAGAAAAACATACCTACTATATTCCAGAAAAATATACAAAATACCTAGCATATTAACGTAGCAAATTACGTATGTGAGAAAATCCAGCATTTCAAATAGCAAGGAGTAATAACGAAGAAGTGAGAGAAATCAGAAATAGCACAGCGAATATTAACAGGTAACAAAACGTTTCGGATGTCCCACAAACTAGTGAAAGATAGAAACTTAAGTAGAAATATAAAACTGAAAATATACAAAGTGTTAGCTACTCACATATGCAGTCGAGACTATGTGTTTCATAAGTAAAGATTAAAAGAATATTTAGGAGAACTTTTTGCAAAGAATTATGGGTCCATTAAGAACGAAAAATGAAGAACTGAGAAGAATGAAAGACGAGACAAGCGGCATAATAAAAAGGAAGATATAGTCAAGATTCATCAAATCATAGAGACTGACGTGATAGGAACACAGAATGAAAACAACCTGACTTCCTCGTTAAGACTTATTGAATGGAATCCAGAACAGAAATGCAGAGGAAGGCCTAAACAGGGACAAAAGGACTAGATTATTAGGGACATTAAAATAATGAAAGTGAGAAACTTTCTGAGATCTAATTTATTTTTTGTGCATTTACTAAATATTGATATATGGATAACCCAATCTAAGCTAGATTGGGAGAGCTGTGTATATGCATTCAACTACGAGTAATGCATTTTCCAGTATTTCACCTTCTCTGTATATTTTTAAAATTAATAGATTACCTTGGTTAATGTAACTAATAGTATCAATTTTATAAACTAATATATATTATAATTCATCTTTTGCTACCAGAGACCTAAAGATTAATAATATTTAGGTTTAGGTTTATTATTGAATATGTTTTTAAATTAATTTTTGGAACATTCTAACCTATTATTTCTGAGACAATTAAATGATATCATTTGCTAAGTGGTCTGAGCTGTTGAAAATATAGAAATAAAAAATAAAAATTAATTTAAAGTGATTTTTGGACTACTTAGTGGTAAAGTGTAAACAATTACAATTTGTTGTTCAGGTAGTGCTGATTGACAAGATATAGCTAAATAATAGTTGCAACATTGTGCGGGCTGTTATAATTGAATCAGTAGTCAGGAATTCTTTTTTGTTTGGCCGAGGTATATCGCAATATTAAAATGAATATATATTATTAGGATTCGGAATACTCCGAATCCGTACTAGAAACAATGACTCCTTATATATTTCGAAATATAAGAAACATAAAAAGTCCAATTGGAGCAGCTGCAATAAACTTATCGTAAATAATAATCGTTATTATTACAATGCAGTTCAAGAATTGTGGAATGACAACCTTCTTCTTTTCAATATCCTTGGGTTATTAAACGTTGGAGATGTTGATGCCTTTATTTTTACTTTTTATATTGATTATATATTGGTCCTTTGTCGGTCAACACCCTCTCCCAAGCATATCAATAATATGCAAATAAGAGTTTCAACTTCATCAGTTTCCACAAACCTAAATGACTGTGTGTTGATAACTCTACGTAAAGACGGTCTAATAGTGGTGACTTTATAGAGAAACAGGTTTTTGGGAGATCCTATTTTAACATAACCTAAACTGTAGAATCTAAGAACGTGGTTTAACTGCAGTTCTACAGAACTGTTCACAGTAGTGGCATCGAAGATTCGAACCGCTATGATGGTTGCCAACCTTCTGAAAGGAGACGACACGTAACGAAGGAGCTGTAGATGAATATGACAATATTGTGATGAATAAAACAGCAGTCCATTACAACATGAAAAAATTTCAGATGCAATACGTTGGGTAGATAAGATTTATTTATAGTAATGAAAGCAATGCCATGATAGCAAATTTATTTTTGAAATGCAATAAAAAAGAAGTATGCATATTAGAGGAAATGACAGAATTAGGGTTATTGTAACAAACATAATATAATAAAAAAGTGTGAATTGCTGAGAATGTCAGAACTTTGTCATCAGGGACGATAAAAATTACCTAAAGATAACATTTTCATATCTGCTGTAAGTACTAAATACGTTATATTTTTGTAAACTAGTAGTTTATAAGAGCTATTCGAAAACAAAAATACGCATTTTAATTAAAAACTTAGAAGGCTGTAGTAATCTAAATGATATATGCGGAAAAAAATAAATACATGACATTCCTTAGTTAAGAAAATTAATATCTAAAAGACATGTATTATTTCAATTATTACTTAGACTTAGACGGATTCGAGAGATATACGACCGACACGAATGATCTTATAGGCCAAGTAAGAAACTTGAAGAGAAAGCACAATATGCAATACGTTGTCTGGCGAAACACAAATAGGAAGCTGGTACAGTAAAATAAGACACATGAGATAGAAGATTTTCTTCCAGAAGGCGATAATAATAAGTAGATATAAGCAGTAATAAGTAGACATCGATGTGTATATCTCTTTCAAAATGTTTTATTATGGGATTGCCATATAAAAAGTTCTTCAACAAGAGGAAAAGATGGAAAATTAAACTAATATAAATGATATTGTGGATCAGCTAGAATAATAGATTATGATTAGAATCAAAACGGTGTTAACTTTAAATTAAGCATGGAAACTGAATTTTCATTGACACTAATAGTTAGCATTATGTAAACACAAATCAAAAATGAAACAAGCCAAACCTCTCTCGTCTTTTCTTTTTATCTACCTCATTTGTCCTGGTGACTCGTTTCGGCGGAACATCCCCGTCACTAGTTGGCTTAGACACGACGGATTCTAATTCTTTTTCTAAATTCTTAATTTGTACTTGGTATTGGGATATTTCTTCGTTGGCTTTATTTCTAGAATCTATCATATTTTTGATTATCTCGCAGGCTTTGAACTGCTCCGCTTTAAGCTTTAACAATTTCTGCTTTTGTGCGTCATAATCCTGTAACGAAATATTTTTATATATTAAATATGTACGAAATTGTATGTATACGTATTATAAGAAAATTGCGGTCGAAATCAGTTAGTACTTTCTGTAAGATATTTATTGTCTAATAAGATTACTACAAATCTTATTTACTTTAGAAATAATTATTTATTTAAGCATATGAGGGTTGCTACTTTTTGAAGGTAACGTTTTGAATATAAAAGTAAAAGCAAATACAAACACACTAAACAAAATGATTACTCTGCTAAAGCAGTTTTTTATTTTAGGTATATCTACAAACATCAGTCGTATACATCAAGTATACGACGACACGAAGACACAGAAAAATCAGCTTAGGTCGAGGAGTTAGACAAGGAGACAATATCTCACTAAAATTGTTCACGGCAGCTCTAGAGTCAATATTTAAGAGCACTCAATGGCAAGATATGGGCATCAATATAGATGGAGAAAGATTAAATCACCTAAGACACTTACAAATATCTGGGACACGAAATCAAAATAAGCAGAGACAATCAAACACATGAAATACAGAGGCGAATAGGCCTAACATGGGCAGCATTTGGCAAATTAAGCCATATTCTAAAAAGTTCAATTCCCATGTGTCTCAAGCGAAAGGTTTATAACCAATGTGTTTTACCTGTACAAACTTATGGAGCAGAGACTTTAACACTCACGCAAAAATCTGCGAATAAACTCAGAGTTACACAAAGAGCCATGGAACGTGTAATGCTGAACGTGAGCCTTCGAGACCACATAACAAATCAACAAATTAGGCAAAGATCAGGAGTTCAAGACGTCAACCACGTCGCTTAAGTGGAACTGCGCAGGACACTTAGCCAGAGCACAAGATGCACGGTGGACAAGACGTATTATGGAATGGAGGCCAGGAACTATAAAAGAAGCCCAGGACGACCACCGACTAGATGGACCGATCATATAAAATGTGTAGCAGGAAACTGGCTACAAGCGGCCCAGTACAGAGAACACTGGAAAGAACTGAGGGAGGCCTATGTCCAGCAGTGGACGCGATTGGCTGATTGATGATGATGATGATATCTACAAACATTCAACAAATTTATTAAAAATAATAACTAAAAATATCAAATTAATGGTTTATTGAATATCCATTATTATGTATCACTTGCTGGTAACATCGTGGCATTGAGGCAAATAATTTTTAAATTAAGTTTTCAGGAAGAATGCTCCAAACTCGACCGATTATATCTGTCGACGATTGTTTAGATGGAAACCTCCTCCTCAGTCCTAATCCCTTTTGGGATGTGGTGACACCATCAGGCCTTCACAGTTTTTTTAGGATTTCTCTCCATCCTTCTCTGTCCTGGGCTAGTTGTTCGGCTTCATGTAACCCTTGGGTAATCAATGTTTTTGTTTGATCTACCCAACGGCTTGGAGATCTCCCCCTAGGTCTTTTTCCTTCAACTCTACCCTCGACTATCAGTTTTTCCATCGTGCCTGTTCTTCTAGCAATGTGTCCAAAATACTGCAAATATCTCTATTGTATTTGTTTAAGCAATCTATCCTTTAAGTTGTTCTAGTATCGATACGTTAGTGCGATGATCAATCCAGGATATTCTCAACATGCGGCGGTATACCCACATTTCAAAAGCGTCCAGTTTATTTTTATCCGCTTTCTTTAAGGTCCCCGTTTCGGATGCATATGTGGCTATGGGAAAAATGAGCGCCCTTACCAGCCTTAGTTTTGTGTGTATTGTTATGCTAGAATTTTTCCAAATTGCTATCAGTTTCATCATGGCTCTTCTAGCAATAGTCAACCTTCTACGTATTTCTCTGTCACACCCTCCGTCATTTCTCCGAGTTTTTTCGATTAGCTGTCTAGCATTAAGGATGTGTTCTCTTGTGCCTTTTCCTGGGATAAATCCCGCTTGTTCTTCTGATATGTGAGGCAATAGAAAAGCTTTTAATCTTTCGATTTGATTAGATGGAAACATTTGTATACAAATACAATATTCTATTTCTTCCTACAAATTTTCAATTGGGTTAAGATATAGTGCTTGTGATGGCCACTCCAAAACTCTACCATTATTTTCTTGAAACCACTCTTGAACAAATTGCCGTGTGTTTTAGATCGTTATTCTATTGAATAATCAAACGCACTGACACTTATTACTCTACATAAAGGAGCATAACATTTTACATTCCACCTATCCTTATAATGAAGTCGAACCATGGATCATTTATAATTCAGGAAGTGAATATGAATTACCCCTATAAGAAGAAATTCCACAAGAACACTGTCTTTACCATTTTTAACTGTCAGTTTTATGTATTTAGGACTGAAGCTGCTATTGGTCATCGTATATTTTCAATTACTAAATAGTACGTTTAAAATTTGACTAAGTGCAAATTGCTGCTTAAAACTAGTAGCTTTTTAGTCGGAGTATTTGTTGTATAACTTTTCTTTTACTTGTTTAACCATAATATCTAAGATTTCAATTATAATTCGGCGTTAGATTATCATTATTGGCGAAGTGTTTTTATAAGCGATAATTGTAAGATAATTAATGTATTCAGTATTTATGACATTTGCAATTTATTGAGTTTTTGGAGTGATAAAGTTAGTTAAACACGTTTGCTTCTTAATCTTAATCACTGAATCCACAGAAAAACGTAAGAATATTCTTTTAATACGTCTGCCACTCTATGATAATGTTTTTCGTGTCCTTTCTGATTTGGGTGGGTTTTAAAAATGTCTTCTTTCATAATGGGATTTAATTAGTGTATATACAATGTACTTGGATAATTGTCTTGACATTTCACCATGTTTTTTTACCATCAATGAACGCATTCACAATTCTCGGTTTTAAGTCTTTTGAATTGGAATACCTCTTGGCACGATTAATTAAGCACATACATATGCAGAATATTATAAAATAAACTATACAAAGTATTTTTTTCTTTACCTTCATTGTAAATATTCCTTTTGGAAAAATAATTAAATACTGATTTACTTTTGAAGTTTTAATAACCCGTGATTACTCCAGCCGTCAATTATTACGTCGTTATTAGCGAGTTATCTAACATGTGTAAATACAGTGTGATGTTTGCTGTTAAAACTCGTAATCAAAAAGAAAACTAAAATAGTGTAGTCGAACTAATCGTTTTCTTGCCAATCGCAGTTCTGGCATAAAACTATAATTTACAGTCTCCTGGAACATACTTGGCTAGGCTTGGAACATATATCACACTGATAATTTGTTGTTATCGCAGAAACCAGTTAATTTCTCGTTGACTCGTTCTGCTGGATCTTCACGACCAAGAACACTTTTAATTTTTTGTTTTAAGAGGATTCAAAATTTTGAATTCTAGAAGCGCTTTAGTAAACTGATTTCTTGTTGCTTACTATTGTAACGGTTTATTTAGTTTTCATCTTATGCCTGACAAGACGCAGACGTTGTACGATACTTGCCGTAACTGAAACTGGTAAAAAATCTCATATTGTGGTTTCTTCTATTGTCGCATATATTTTGATAGCACACTTCTCGAGTTCATTGGAAATATATTTCCTTACGTTGCCCTGAAAGGGAAACGTCATAAACCCCTATAGAATTTCGGTTATGGTAATATATTCTCCAAGAAAATAAATAGAACTGGACATATTTTTCAACAAGATGATCAAACATATAGTTCACTGGAGCCAGATATAGATTTCCTGCCTAGTCATCGCTTTTCTCCATAGTTCGTTTGTATTTAAATGTTGAGATTTTTTGACTTTAGCTAAGTATAGAACCCAAAAAGCCGGTAAACGTTGATATTTAAGACTCATGAGATCAAGCTGTAGATTCATACATTCCAAGATAAGGTCAATAATTTCATCTGGAAATAATTTCCAGCAATCAATATATTTTATGGAATGTTGGATGTAGCTAATTTGGCTTACTTTAACCACTTTATTACACCATATTTCCCAATGTAATATAGTTTATTGTGCCACCGTTTCGGTCCCTTGAGTTTAAGGGTACTCGCCATCGAACTGCTTGGTGTCCGTGTCAAAGTCGCTGTGTTCAGTAGAAGCATCTTTATCTGAGACATCATACCCTACTGCAGGCAAAAAATCTTTTTCCCAAGCTTCCCAAATTATTTATTTTTAGTTTATTTATTTAGTTATTTATTAGATCTTGCAACCGCTTTTGTCACCGACGATGGCAGTCTTATTTGATGTTTAAAAACACAATGTATTTAAATGCGATACCATGCATTCTCTTATTATAGTAAAAGACTAATAAATAGTAGCATAGCAGTGGGATAATTAAATACCCTATCTAAGGCTAAAAATGTGCCCAAGGCAACGAAAATCCTAACACATGAAACAATAATTCTTACCAAAAGTAATAGACCGTCGGATTTCCGATGCCTTTGATAGTACTGAAAGATAAAATCAAGAAAAATAAAATATGTACAAAATCTGTGGTGTTCTGGGGAACTTTTCGTGAAAACTGAAGTTTATTTTGAAAAAAAAATTTCTTATTTAAAAAACTTTCGCTCTTATGCCATCGGTAGAGGATTGATTCTATTTAAAAATTGACACAAGGGCTACTGGTGCCCCAAGGGTGCTCAGGGTGTTAATTATCGTGATGGATTAGACCGTTACTTTTAAACGTTTATTTTCGAAACTTCCACAAAATTTATTACAAAAACTTATCACTACAGTGTTTTTCAGAGTGCCTTTCTCAAATGATCTATTTTTGATATGTTTACACTTTATAGTCTTTAACTCAATGGATTGAGGAGGGGAGCACTGTTTGACCCAAGTTGGTCATTTAGAATTCTGTCTGTATTTTTTAATTTGTTTTGATAGATTCTAATAAAGATAGCTTAAGGCCTTTATTTTGGACGTGAAGGATTTGAAATTAGCCATTAAAAGAATGATTATGGTCTAGAAGGTGAAGTGCATACGTATAATGTGTTTCTGTATTATTGAAAGCCCTTTTATGTTCTGCTATACGTTTGTTAAAAGTTTTACTAGTTTGACCGATGTAAGTTTTTAGACAGTCGTCACATTTAAGTTTGTATACACCACTGTGTAAGTGCTTTTTTTGGCCCTTGTTGTTTTTAATATATTTGAATAAGTTGTTGTTTGTTCTAACAGCTGATTCTTTCTTTTTTATGTGTTTGGCTATTTTTGTTGATATCTTGTTTGTATATACAATCGCGCAGAAAGTACTGGGTTTTTTCTCTGGTGGTGGAAATACTAATTTCAGGGATTTCTTATGTAAAGTTTGATTTAAAATTTTATTTATTGTTTGTTGACTTAAAAACCATCCTGTAAAACTGATGACGAACTATTAAGTCGGTGAGCTGCCTGGAAAAGCATATGTAAGATGTGGTACAGCTGAAGTCGCTATAAATGGCTTCCAAAAGAACATTTTTCGAGAACACGACTTCGCCAGTTACCATCAAACGCAAGGTGACTGAATTACAGCATCAAATCTATATTATGCTAAACAACAAAGGAAAGTGATTTCCCCTCCAACTCATATGCCTTCTTCAAGAGATAAGTACACAACCAAATATTCATAAGCTTCATCTTGTAACAGACTTTCGAAATCCAGAAGTGCGTTATGTTAGTGATGAAGAAAGAAATTCCACAAAAGAATCTGCTGTCTTGATTACAAGCACTTCATATAACGATGATTTAGAAAGTAGTTTTTCTGAACAGAAAAGAAAGAAAAGTATCTGAAACAGAATTTGCATTTGAAATGAAAAAGGTGCCTTCTAGAAAAACAAATAAGAAAAGAAAAGCTATTGTTCAGAAGAAATTAACAATCAAGGTTAACAAGAAGAGTGTCAGGATTCTAGTAGCTCATCTAAAGATGAAGAACTTATATTAGATGATGATTTTGAGATGGATTGTAACACTGGGGAAGAGGAAGTAGAATGTATGTTTCTTTCTGGAATCTTTCTTCACTGAAGATAGGGTGGATGAAAAATGGATTCAGTGTTCAAAATGCTTCAAATGAGCTCATACTGACTGCGCCAATATAGACAAAGACGCATATAAATGTTACTTTTTAAAAGTTCGCAATGTTTTCCTTTTTTTAATATATGGTCTGTATAGACTATTCTTTGATTTGCTATAAAAATGTAAATTTAGTGAGATATTGAAATTAATAATAAAAAAGTATCCCTTATTAAGGCACTATTCTTAACTGTTATTATCTGAAAAGCCAAACAAATTATATTTTTGAATTAAATAATATAACTTTCATTCAATATTTCAAAGGTATATATAAATAAATCTTACGAAGAACAGATAGAAAATAGGAAACCTCAAAAATATATACATATTTAAACAATAATACAAATAATATTTTCGATTGATACTTACGTATTTTAGAGAAGTAAATATACTGATAATTTTATCGCTTTTAGAGTTCCTAAGCAAATCTTCAAAATCAATGTTGTACTTTTCCGGTGTACCTACAGATGGTGATCCCAAGGACGTCAATGAAGAGGAAGACTTTTGGGTTTCGGAAGGAGTTATTTGTAAATGTTTTGTGTTCTTTTCCGTAGCTCCTGAAGGTGTTGTTGGGTCCTGAACTAAAACAGAAATATAGTCAGTATTTAACATGTTTGAAGTCAAGGTTGGACTTTTAGACACCGCTATATTTTGGTTTTTCTTTATTTCTGTTAACGCCGCGTCCAACTTTGATTGCAATTCTCGAATTTTCGACTTGAATATATCATTTTCTTCCTCTAATTGAAACATTTTTCTATCGTTTGCCGATTTCAACCTTTCAGATTGTTTATGTTCTCTCTCTAGTTCCGCTTTGGTACCTGTTTAATAAATGTATATCAAACAGTTAATTAGAGCTAGATTTTAAGTGATATAGGCAGTAAAATGAGTTTATCATAAACTTGAGTAAGGCTAAACTATACAGTTGAACTTAAGAATGAAAGATATGAAAAGACTGGCGGAAATAACTGACGTAGGTGCTTAGAACCGTTAGAGAAATATCGTTTACATAATATATTAGGATATACAGTGTACGTTTTTTTATCTGCTCTCAACTATTTCCTGGACCATAATTTAAAATAGCGGACAAGCACAATATTGTAGGTACAATTTTTTTAAATGTGTTCATATGGCAAGTAATATCTTGTCACTGAGTGCGTAACTAGATTTTTTTACAATTCTGTCTGAACTTCTACAAATTTTCTGTCAAATGGAAAGCTAGTTTGGACGAAAACCCGGAAATAGACAAAAACGTAGATGACCACAACCATTGAACTAACCTTTCTAACCACTTTTACAATGAAGATATTTCCTTTTAGTTTATATTCTAATAAACTACCGAATACACACAAAATAAAAAAAAACTATATAGAAGAGGTCTACGAGAAAACTTGCCAGAAGAAATCTACTTACCAGAATATTTATTTTTAAGTTCCGAGTACTGGGATACCAGGTCATCGAATTTCTTGGCCTCTGTTGTAATCTTTTTAGATAATGCTTGGTTCTCTTTATAACTTGTCTCCAATTTATTTTGTATATCCTTCATTTGAATAGCGGTTGTTGAAATTCTAGTATTTAGAGATTCATTTTCAATTTGCAGAGTTTTTATGATTTCCTCTTTAGTCTGGAGTTCTTTTTGCATGTTTTGACAACGACCTTCTAAGGTTTCCGCTTGACAGATCACAAATTGCAATGATGCGTTGTTTTCTTTTTCCAGTTGGAGCTAAAAATATATTATATCGTTAAAATTATTTTCAATGAAAATATTAATAAAAAAATAGTGTGCCTATTTAAAAAAGAAGATTATATATACAGATTATAGTCGGAAGATTACAGCGAAACGGTAAAAGATTTTGAAAACATTTTAAATGTATAGTATATATGTAGGTTGATAATGGTTATATTTTAAAATTATTGTGAAATATACAGTGTCACAATAAAGCGCGGCCACAAATATAACTTTGATAAATTTTTTCATATGGAACACCCTGTATTTTATTGGATTTTCTAATTGTCTGCAAAAAATAAGGTATAGTTTCAAAAGATTCCCCTATACCTTTGGACAGAGTGTTCTGAGTTATGTCGAATTTTCTTAAAATGTAAAACTTTAAACGAGGACTCATTCTTAATTTATTTAAGCAATTCTAATAAAATTACTCATACATCTAAATAGCTGCATATTGATCGAATGTATTTCATGATTATTTATTAAACACTTATTTACAGGGTGTAGATTCATTATTGGATTATTCAATGTGTAATTTAAAGCATATTTTAAATGGAACACCCTGTATATTAATGAATTATTCAATTTAAAAAAATTTCTCTTTCGAATGATATACGGATGCACTATAAATAGGACTGATAGTTTTGCCGTAATTTAAAATTTTGTTAAACGGAAATCGATTTCAAATATTTATAATTAATAATTTCGATTTTTAAACCCATCATATTGACATATTGTTATAAACGAAACCAGTGTAGTTGTAAATACATTTTTTGTAAGTAAATTAAATAATATTTATATTTCATTGGATTTGTATTCCTTGGGAATAGGATAATTAGTATTAAAATATGATGAAAAGAAAATAAAAAAATAAATAAATAAATGACGTAAGATAAAATAAAAGATAAAAATAAAATGACGCAGGTATTAACGTTATGTTTAATTTTTGTATTATTTTAAGTATTAAAATAAGTTTAAGATTTAAATAAAAATAAAACTGTAAAATATATTGATTTCTTTGAAGTCATAATAATAGATGTACCTGTAACTTCTTACGTGCTTACGAGCACACACTCTTTTTTTGAAAACAATTTAATACATAACGAAACAGAAAGAATTTTAATGAAACAAATAATACAAAATGAATAATGAACATAAATACAAAATAATCCAGAACTTACTATAAGTAAAAAATGTTCAAGTATGTAACAGATGTTCAAATTGCTTGCCATCTTGTGTAATACAACAAGCGATTCTACCTTCGAATGATTTATTTACATTATTTAACATAGCAGGAGTTGAAGCAAACGCGTTTGTAATTCTTAATTTCATGTCATCTCTAGTAGTAGGAGGTGTAGCATATACAATATTTTTAATATAACCCCATTTAAAAAAATCCATCTTGGTTAGTCCTGGTGACTTAGGGGACCAATTATATGAACCACCACTACCTATTCATCTGTTTGTAAATTTTCTGTTAAGGTTGTTTCATTAATATACAGGGTGTTCCATTTAAAATAAGCCTTATATTACACATTGAATAATCCAATAATAAATCTGCAAAATTTGAACACCCTGTAGATAAATGTTTAAGAAAGGTAAATTAATCATGATATACATTCAACCAATATCCAACTATTTAGAGGTATAACCAATTTTATTAGAATTTCTTAAATAAGTTAAGAATGAGTCTTCGTTTAAAGCTTTACATTTTAAGAATATTCCACATAACTCAGAACACTCTGTACATAGGTATAGGAAGTCTTATGAAACTGTACCTTATTTTTTGCCGAAAATTAGAAAATGCAATAAAATATAGGGTGTCCCATAAGAAAAAATATACCTTTGATACACCGCACTTTATTGGGACGCCCTGTATATTTCAAAATAATTTTAAAATGTAGCCCTTATCAACTTTCAAACTATAAATTTAAAATTTTTTTAAAACCTTTTACCGTTTCGCTGTAATCGTTAGTGGTGACTCACCCTGTATATATATATATGTTCAGAAAGGGTTGTGGTTGGTGAAACGACAATGATATGTAAAAAAAGAATAACATTTTTATATTTCACATTTGTCGGCTATGAAAAATCTTTTCAATCCAAAAAGTAATACAGATAATAGAGAATTGAGTAACTAGCAGAGAAATAAGACGTATTACATAAGTAAAAACAATTATCTAGGAATATACTTTGTGATATTGTTTTTCATTTAAATGTCCAGGAGACTTAGTCGCCTTTACATATTTTATCGATTTTAGTAGTTTCGTTGATAAATGGTTGATAAAAGTTCGTCAAACGGTAGCTTTGTAAAAGAAAAATAGGACAAAAGTCAAACTAATATATCATAAAGAATTATAAAACAATACTTATCCCAAAAGTTAAAGAAGGTTAACTGCAACATCTAAAATTAAGAATACTATTATATCGATTCGTAGAGCTTTATTTGCATTAATTTAATGAAGTTTGTGGAATATAAGAACCAACATGAATAAAACCATGCCCCAAACGTCAACTGCCCGAGAGGTGATCATGTAGTCACCCGGTTCACCCTGCTAGATAACCAACGAGGCTCTGACGTAATACGGTATAACCTTAGTATCATAAACATGAAGGAAATGCCATGTTCCCAATCCAAGAATTCCTGAGGCCAGTCTGAGGGCTAGAGCTGGCAGCCCCGGTATCAGAATCGAGTGTGAGACGCCAATCACATATCCGCCTTAAATTACCAGAGTTTTGAAGTTCCACAGAGACACCCGGGCGTATCCTTTTATAACGACCTTTGGCTTATGTAAACGGACAAGAATATTGTCTTGACCAAACTAGGTCTCAGTGAGACACGGTGGAATCAAACGAGGAACACGTCAATATGGAGTAGGAATTCTGTTTAGTAAAGGAACAAAAAAATCTCCCATTAAGTAGAAACAAATTTCTGTAAGGATCAGGACTAAATTAACAAAGGTAACACTGGTTCAGTGCTGTACACCAGCAGAACAAGTAACCGAAGAAGAAAAAGGCTATCTATGATTGTCTTGAAGCCACATTAGAACAAAATAAAAGATCCGATATAAAAGTAGTGATGGGAGACTTCAATGCCAAGGTTGGCACTGACAACACCAACATAGGATACGCAATGTAAATTCATTGAACTATGTGGTAACCAATACCTAATCATTGGAGGAACTTTGTTCCTGTATTAAACAAACAATAACAAGAACATAATATGTATTACATGTCTGTCTGTGATCACTGGCCCTATCTGCGATTATCCATGATCCAACTGATGATGGTCGAAATTAGATCCAAGATAGCTAAGAATACGACAGTACCGAAGAAATCTATACGAAAGAAGTACAATGTTGAGAAATTACTAAACAACGGGGCGCAAATAGAATTCGTACGAGACTTGCGAGCCAAAATAGACGAAAGACATGACAAAAATATTGGGAAATTATTAGTAATTTCCCTGTGACAAATAAAAACATATTGGGCTTAAAGAAATACATTCGATACGCTTACACATAAAAAACTACAGAAAATGAGAATTCCAGAAAAATCATTACCATTATAATACTAGATAATAAATCTCATTAAAGAACTCTACAATGATACAAAAAGTCAAGTCCTATGCAATGACATGTGTGATCCAATAGCTGTGCTAAAAGGAGTAAAACAGGGCTGTGTTATATACCCATACTATTGAACATTGTATTCAACTCTGTGCTAACAAAGGTAAACTCTTAATAGAGGAATTTACTGGGGATTAACAAGCATACTGGATGTAGCACATACACAACAGGGTAGGCAACTCCTACAAAAAGAATCAAAGAAGGTTGGTCTAGAATTAAACATCAGTAAAACCCAAAGAAATGCTATAATAAGGCACCAGAAACAACCAATCTATTGTGACCAACAATCAAGAAATTTAGAGTGGTGGAATTTATATATCTGGGCAGCATAATTGACTTTAACGGTGGTACAGGGCGTAATGTACAGGAAATAATTAAGGAAATTACTAATAAGGCTCATAATACCTACAACATGCATAATATATTTAAATCCAGCCAAAATGAAATTAAAAATCTTCGACACAAATTTAAAAGCTGTATTACTATATGGCTGTGAAAAGTGAAATATATCAGCACAGATAGCACACCAATTACAAGTTTTCATCCATAGAACGGTACGAAAAGTCCTTCGTATATTTTGGACTAAATGAATCTTGAATGAAAATTTATGGAATCAAACCACATAAGAAAGTGCCAAAAAGCAAATAAGTTGAAGAAAATGGAGATGGCTGAGCCATAGACTCAGTAAACCCTTTGTTGGCATTGCAAGGATAATGCTGGATTGGAATCCTTAAGACCCGTCTTGGAAAACTTGGAAACGGACAAAGGGGACTGAAATGGGTACACTTGTACACTTGTAAGACAAAAAGTTGTAAAAATCATGTTATTAAAAAAATCATAACTAAACAACCACTTCTCATGTATGGTTTTTCAAACACTTTATAATTTTTGGTAACTAAAAATAGTCCAAAGTTTGAAGAAAATAAATAAACAACAAAAAGCACCACTACACTATAAATAATATACGTTCACTAAATCAATATAAAACTAACTGTAGAATATATAAATTATTCACAAAAAATTCCTAATGGTAAAAAGTGAACAAAAAAGTGGAATAAATTAATAAATGTACAAAGTGATTTTGCCATGTACCTTTAACATCTGTATTTCAAATAAATACGAGGTTCAACGAATAATTGATGACATTTTCATTTTATAGAACATAAATGAAAAATTCATGTTTTCTAAAAGTTCACGAAATATATTAATATATTTAAAATATATGTAGTGCATGAATGAATAGACTTTGATTATGTACTTTAGAAAGGAACTACAACATTAAAGGGATTTTAGTGGTCAGCGGACTTCCAAATATGAAAACACCAAAACATTTAAACGAATGCGTTTTTGAGAAAGGGGGCAATTAGTCCCTATTAGCCCAGACTTTATATCTGTTGTTGGGTGTAAAGCATATAAACGCAGTTTTTTGCACAAATCGCTGTAAAATATCACTACAAATGATAATTTCATTATGCGTGAGCTATAAAATTTGAGCCTGCCTTTTCAATAAACAAAATTCAAAAATTCGTTATTTTTCCTGTTTTTTTCGCATGTATCTCAAGAACTATTGATTTTAGAATACCTTTGTATTTAGCATTTTTTATATTATTTAATTATTATTATTGAAAAAATACTACAAAACCCCAAAAAAGAGATAAACAAAAACAACTTGTTTATAGCTACTGTAAATTTGTATCCAAATTTGTATAGTACAGATTTTTATTTAAAAAACAGATCTTACAACCTTATGCTTTTATTGCAAATTGCAGTCAGCTTTGCGCGATCATAACTCCAGAACGAATAAACCCATCATCTTACTTTTCCTTATTTTTGAAGGGTCTTTTGACGGACTTTTAATATCTGTTTTGAAAATTAAAATCGACCAACAATTAATGAAGTTATTCAAATTGTTTATAAACCTAAAATTTAAACAATTTGTTAAAAAATTTCCTAGGTTCTTCTAATCGACGGATTTTAATTTTTCAAAATGGATTTGAAATCTTGAATGTTTTTTCCTATTTTGTTTAATAAAAAGTTAAGTACACATTTTACAGCTCCACATAGTGGAAATACTTTTTCCTACGCAGTTTTAGGTATGTGCAATGGAACATTTCATAGAAAGAAAAATAAATTAACTTTAAAATGGTTTATTATTAGAAGATTTTAGGACCAATTTTAAGCAAGATATAGTTTTTTGAGTTTTCTTACTTTTGATGATTTTTGCAGCTTTTTTTTTAATGTCTCGTTTTAACTGCGTTCCTTCTACCAAACGTCATTTTGACGAAGAAGGATAGAAGTTTTTTTTCAGTGAAGCAGTAGCTATATATATACCCATGTGGAAAAAATTATGGGGCAAAAAAGGAAAACCGCGTTCTTTCTTTTTTTTGTTTCGTTTTTTGAATAAGTATATTTTTGTAAAAAAAAAAAATTTTTGACTTTAAAAGGTGACATTTCGATACTTTCGATACTAACTAAAAAGTGCATAATTCACCCTTTTCTCAAAAACGCACCCATTTAAATGGTAGCACTCCGAGATTTTTTCATATTTAGGAGTCCATTTACTATATAGTGACACTCTTTTACCGTTGTAGTTTCTTTTAGCTCTATTTTAGTTTACATTAGTTTATGGGTGGATAAACAAATTTATGAGGGAAGAATTGTTTGTTTCAAGCGATTATTCAAATTTATGTCGCTTTTTAGATAATTAACAACCTTCGTTTAAAGCTGTCAATTTGTGTAGGTGCATACAAATGCAAAAACTAATGTATATTTTCAAAAGAGTAAATAAAAATCTAAACTGTGTATTTTAAATCATTATTGTTGTCTTCGTTTGTACTTTTTAACAAGTAGTTTAATCCGATGCAAAGTTTCGGAAAATTTGCACAACTTTTCTAATATTTTTTACATATCTGCTTAGTTTATACATTTCAAAAAATATTTTGCATAACAATGATATATTTTATATGCCATAATTTAAAAAATTATATTTTTAATGCGAAAAAAATTGAGATATAAAAAAATCTTAATAAGATAATCTTTGACAAAAAAGATATTCTTTTACTGCAAGCAACAAAAATCTTGTGAACCTCCGAAAAAAAGTTCCCTCCGGCCCAAATAGGCGCTGTGAGAATTAAAGTGCCTGATGTTGACCGTCTAGAAAAACTATTTGAAGACCAAAGAGATAACACCTTTGAGCTAGAAGAAGAGGTAAATGATGGGCCAAGAATATTACAGCAGGAAGTTTATTTCGCAATAACACAGTTAAAGGATGGCAAAGTAGTAGGCCCTGATAATATACAAGCAGAACTACTCAAACTAATGGACAACGAATCAATAGCAATAATCGCAAAGATATTCAACAACATAGACAACTCTGGAGAAATACCAATAGAATGGCTGAAATTTGAGTTTTTGCACTTCCAAAAAAACCAGGAGCCAAAAAAATGCGAAGATTACCGTACAAGCCTCATGAGTCATCTCCTAAAATTGTTCCTAAAGATATGTCATCAGAGAATCTACAAGCTCTGTGAAAGTCAAATTTCCCCCAACCAGTTCGGGTTCATCAATGCTGTTGGTACTAGAGAGGCTTTGTTCTCAGTACAAGTCTTATTCCAGAGATGTAGAGACGTCAACTGCGACGTATACGCATGTCTGGTTGATTACGAGAAAGCGTTTGATCGAGTACAGCACGCCAAGATGATGCAAATACTAAAAGAAGCAGGAAATAACAACCAAGATCCGAAAATAATTAGAAATCTTTACTGGAATCAGACAGCAAATCTCAGAGTTGAAGGTGAACACACTAACTATGTGAAAATCATGGGTGGAGTGAGGCAAGGCTGTATATTGTCTCCTCTAATCTTCAATCTGTACGCTGAAAGAATATTTATTGAAGCTTTGCACGAAACTGAAAAAGGTGTTCTACTAAATGGTTACCGGCTTAACAACATCAGATATGCAGATGACACCATAGTATTCGCGGAGAACTTAGAAGACTTATAAGTTCTTATGAACAAAATCACGTATTACAGTCAACAATATGGAATCAATATAAACATGTTAAGAAAAAATGTTTCACTGTTGTGTTGATAATATTTTGGTTACCAATCGCTATTTGGGTAGTTTGTTTTAAATACAATAATCTTCTTATATTTATTAAAACAATTTTCCCAAATAAAAAACATATACAATTATTTTTTTATTTTTACTTGATAAAAAATATATGATTTTAACATACATCAAAAATGTGAGATAAATGTCTACATTCACCGGCGAATGTTAGAAAATATGAATTTAACTGATAATTCGAATACATGACAAGCGACTTAATGAATGTTAACATTCACTGGTGTATCTCTATATTCCCTGGATTTCAGGCTTTCACAATAACATATAAGTATATACAATCCCTAAAATGCATTTATTATAAATTACACAAACAATTTCTAAAACATAGGCGTATGCTCAATTTGAAATCATTTTTTTTTTCGTTTTCTAAATGTGTTTACCAACACATATATATATTTGTAAACAAAGTTGAAGTACTTGAAAAGGGCACATTGATCTCAAAACAGTCGTTTCATGAAAATTTAAGAAACAGTAAGTTTGTAATGGTACATAAATCATTTTCCAGGTTTATAGGACCTGCATTTAGGTCTTTCTGACGTTTTATCTGCAATTGTGACAGACACTATCAGAGACTCAAGAATGAATAGAAAACAATTACAATAATTAATATCTCCTTTGTTGTCTGTCGCATTTTTAGACAAAACTTTAGAAAGACCACGGCCTATAAAACCCAACAAGTTTATAACCTCTATAAATTTATTTTTAATACTACTAATCAATTTGCACTTAAGAAAACTTTTTATATTTAATTGCCAATGAAAAAGGAATTTACGAACATTCTAGGAACCTAGTTCTGTCAGACCGTTATCGATACATTTTGGAATATTAACCGATTCTAATTTATTTACACTTCATTTATTATTCACGATCAAAAGTAGACTATGTAATTTGTTTGAACAAGCACATTTACAGAATCTGTTGGTTTGGTGTAAGATGTAATAGCAAAATCACTCTGTAACAACTTTAAGATGTGTGTGATAGAAATACAGAACAAAAAATAAACAAAAAGATAATCAGACGGATTTATGTGAATACCTCTTGTTCCAGATTTTTAATTCTCTGTTGGAGTTCGTTCGTTGTATTACTTGAAGCTTTATTGCTAAATATTCCAGTAGTATCTGACCTCAGGGAAGCTCCTTCTGAGTCATATCTTATATCCTTAAAATATATACTATTGAATATATTATTGAATCTTGGTCATATTAATTATTTTTAAATGTGTTCTTAAAAATGAATAGCAATTTTTTTACAGATAACTTATTTTTAACAAAAAGAAATCAAAAATCAGTTTCAGAACTTGTAATAGAATGGAAAAATTGTATTTACAGTTGCAAAGAAGTTGCTCAAATACAGATCCAAAGAAAGATAGAAACTATATCTTGTAATATAAACGCCACTTAATTGTGTAACATGGAAATAGCTACCACGATTGGGCAGTGATGAAGTGTGCCTAATGAAAGATGGTGAATGCTTGGTGAATCCTTGGTTACACAAATGACGATACTAAAGTCCGGGTTTCAGTCTCAGTCTGCTAGAGGTGTCAGTCTGGGATTGACAGAGCTAGACTACAAGAGATTTGAGAATGAGATCAACAAGAGAACACGAAAGAGAAGAAAAGTTTGGGCACTGCCTTTTTTGGAAAAAATAGGTAAACCTAGTAAATACGAGAACGAAAAGGAAATAAGACGAAGACGATAAAGGGAAAGATATAATATGATTATTACACGGTAACAAAAGAGTAGAGAGGAGTAATTATATCTCGTCGGATACACTAATTATACGACATATTTATACACAATTGTACCTGAAAAAGATAATATAAAAAAAAAGAAAACAAAAATTAATATCGGCCAAATGTCACAATAGAAATACTGTGTAAAAATACAAAAAAATATGTTCACGTATTTAGACTTTTAGAAGACACGATAAGTACCGTCTGCTGCAATTGATTGTCCAGGAAAAAATAGACAGTAAGCGAGGCCAGGTAGGAGAAGACACTCTTGGCTCCAAAATCTGCGGAAGTGGTTCGGCTCACATCGGTCGAACTATTCAGAAGCGCCGCAAACAAGATCAGAATTGCCATGTTAATAGCCAACGTTCGTAACGGACAGGACACTTGAAGAAGAAGAAGGCTTTTAGACAAAGGTAATAAAAAGGTTAGTGTTCTCAAGAAAATGTAGAAAACTGTATCTCGGAAGTTGATTAAGTTAACGTTTCTTAAAAATTATTCATTGTTTTGCCAAACGGCAAGACAACGAGGCAAAAGAATTGTCATCAAATTCTATATGAGTAGAGGACTTACCGGCAAGTTGACTGACATTCCGGCGCTGGTACAAAAGTGATATTCGGCATAGAGAAAGCACAACAGTATGTAACGTTAAAGCAGTTTAGGAAATGTGTGTTTCTTAAATTGATAAAAAAGCCGAATAATTCATTGAATAAATTATTGGAAGATAAGAGCCTCATGAACAAAATGCGATGTCACTTTCAGTAATTGATGCGTGACCATCACTTGGATTTGTTAGTCGTTGCTTGCTTCAATATGATGCTAGATAGACCTTCTCAATAACTGATGTGATCTGGCAGTCCAAGGTTTTAGAAGCATTCTTTTCCAACACCATTATTACGGTATTACTCAGGTATATAAAATTAGCTACCACTTGATAATCGGAAATATTTTGAGCGTCCATCAACCTACTATAGCAATAAATAACGTGTCTCTTATCCACGTAATATCTTTCACCTGGTTTTTCTAATTGCTTTTTTATTATTATTCCTTCGCAATTTTAACTATATCTATCTTAATGAGATATTGGTTAGACGTTCTATTTTGTCTGACATTATTAATACAACGTCTTCATTTCTATTTTTGTCTTCAAAGTTCTATTAACCAGATTTTCCCAAATACTTCTCTTACAATCTCTCTTATAGTACTGCTGCTTTTATCTAAAGTTTTATGACCGTTTTTGATGTTTGAAATAGATATGTATATTATATGCTGCAGTTTCACTACTTTCATCACAGATTTTATGATGTTAAATTTCTATAATATAACTAAATTTCCAAAGTTCTAATAAATCAAGGTTCAATTGTTAGATATGTACCTTTATTTCTGCATATAAAAAATATTATTCAGACAAAAACTATAATTTAAATGTTTACCTGCAATTGAGTCCTAAGATCTTCTATCTCTTGTTGAAACATGGCTATTTGGTCTTCTTTGTCGGCTACGTATTTTTTGTGCTCTTCGTCCTCCAGTTCTATTGCTTTCACAGCCTGGCAAAGAAGGTCTTGTTTTTCTTCAATTTCTTTTTTTAAATTAGCATAATCCACCTGAAAGAGAACAATAAATAATTTTAATTCACACCGTTATACGCAAATACCACTGTGTTTTTGTAACACAAAATAGTAATTCGATATCTCATATATCGGAATGCTATAAACTTTAAAAATATCCATTCTATTCTTAATTTTTATCGTTTTATCCACATCTTAATCGCAATTCTTTACTGTTCAAAACAAAATAATACTGTATAACATATTATTGCTGTTTTAATCGTTATTCTTGACTGAAGATGTCTTAAGAGTAATTTATTATGGTTAATAGTTTAAACATATTTAAAAAATATCTCTCTGCAGAAAATATGTTCAGTTTTTAAGTATATTTGAAAATCTCACTTTTTGAGAACTTAAATCTTAAAAAACTTTTCTTACTACCTATACAAATTACGTATGCATAGTTAACAATAGCATTTGGTCCTCTGCAAACATGAGGGAAAAAGATATATCTCTTTTAATTTAATTTTATTATTTCTTATTTTTGTTTTTCTTTGTTTGAAACTCTTTGTTGTTTTTTTGTATGATTTGATTTATATGAAAATATTGTATTTCTATGTAAATAGAATATCATATGAAATATAGAAACTCATGTAGCCTTGAAGAAACTCATGTAGCCTTGAAATATTTGGAAAATCAAAAACATAAACAAAAATTTGGAGGATGAGAAAAAAAACTGCGGACGATGAAGATGATGTATGATAAGAAGATAAGAATACATACAAGAGAAATATAATGTAGCGGGTCCAATAATGTTTATGGCAAAATGTATTATATCGAATAATGGGCAAAGACGAAACATGTGACTAAAAAAAAAACAATAGTGAAAATAAAATCGGGGAAAGAAATGTAGAGAAAGGATGAACCTTAAATTATCTTCTCTGACTAAAAGAGAATCAGACGGGTAAAAAAGAACATGGGTACACTTTATTGTGAAGAAGTCTGAGACGTTAACAAAGCTAAGAGAAACAAATTTACGACTACGAAGTTGACTATTTAAAAGAAAGCTGAGGTGGGTCTATCCTTGAAAGGATAATAAACAAACATTAACGAAATGAAATGAAAATGGACCGAAACAGATGTGACGAGGAGAAAATTTACGTGGTTTGGCCGATAGTCCCGGAAGATATTGTAGTGGATTCCTCCTGAGGAAAGAAAGGTAGGACACACAGTTATTGTGCCTTTCCAAAATCTACAACAAATTAACGGAGAAATTAAGATATGGTTTCTATTATTGTTTTAAAGTAAACTTTTGGTCGATAGTGGATCTTCTTTTTTAAGTGCCGTCTCCGAATCAGAGGTTGGATATCATAATTTCATCATCAATATCTTTACTCTATCTACCGCTGCTCTAAAGAGTTCTATTGAACTGCAACTAAAGCAGTCCCTTAAATTTTTCAACCATGACACTCCTTCTTTCCACACTCATTCCTCCTCTTATCTTTTTCTGTATTTTAAATCTTAGCATTTCATATCGCTGTCCCCTCATTATGTGTTCCAGATATTGTAACTTACTTATTTTTATTGTTTACTGGTTTTGTATTCTTTTCCCATTTCCCGGCACAGTTAGTGTACATGTTATTCTAAGCATCCTGTAACAGCACATTTGAAACGACTGTATATGTAATGAATGTTTTTATTGCAGAGAATTGTTTGTATTTTTACAATCTCATTTCTTGCTATTTCTATTCTGACCCTTATTTCTGTTCTTTGATCATTATTTTCTGAAATCCAGGTTCCCACGTATGTATTTATATTTTTCAACGCTTTCCATCGGGGTCTTCTTCTTTGTCAACCATTTTCCATCCACCCCTGAATGTAGGTCTCTCCCAATTGCTTCCATCTTTCTCTATCTTGCGCCAATCTAATCTACTGTTTGCCTGCCACTGCTCTTATGTCATCTACCCATCTTTTTTGAGGTCTTCCCATGCTTTTTGTTGTCGTCCTTGGTCTCCATTCTAGAATTCTCCGTGTCCACCTGTTGCCATTATATCTACGTGACCTGCCCAGCGCCATTTCATTTTTGTAATTTCTTCCACAATATCCCTAATCTTCGTTCTACGTCTTATCTCGGTGTTTCTAATCTTGTCTTTTAGTGATATTCCAAGCATGATTCGTTCCATTGCTCTTTGCGTTGTTTCTAATTTTTTGGCAGATTTTTTGGTAAGTGCTACTGTCTCCAAGCCGTAGGTACAAACTGGTAGTATGCATGTGTTATTATACACCTTTTTCTTTAAGTTTATAGGAATGGACGTGTTTTTCAAGATATGTGCTAGTTTGCCGAAAGCGCCCCAAGCCAGTTGTGTTCTTCTTCTAATTTCAGCATCTTGATTTGGTTTTCCCAGTTTGATAACATGACCTAGATATACATAATGTTACACATTTTCTATGGTATGATTTTGTATTGTTATATTTGTCTGGTCTCGGCTCAGTATTTTTGTTTTGCTGTAGTACATTTTTAAGCCTACCGTTCCTGAAACTGCATTTAATTGTTGTAACATATCATTTAGTTCTTGGATATTATCGGCTATTAAAACTATGTCATCTGCGAATCTCAAGTGGTTTAAGTATGATCCGTCGACGTTGATACCCTTATTGTTCCATTCCAGTTTCTTAAAAATATCTTCTAGAGCAAGGGTAAATAGTTTGGGAGAGATGGTGTCTCCTTGTTTTCCTCCCCGTTGTAGTCTTATGGGATTAGTTTTTGTGCTTTCATCCAGCTTTATATGCATGGTGGCATTTTCATATATGTTTTAAATTATGTTAATGTATCTTGAATCTATGCGTGCATTTTCTAGAGATTCAAGCACTGCCCATAATTCGATGGAATCGAATGCTTTATGGAAATCGACGAACGCCATATGAATTGGAACATTATACTCGGTGCATTTTCCTATCAGTGTTCTTACGGTGTGCAAGTGGTCTATGGTATTAAAATGTTTTCTGAATCCAGCCTGCTCGATAGGTTGATAGAAATCGAGCTAATGTGTTAGGCGGTTGGTTATGATTTTAGTTAGTAATTTATACAGATGTGATAGCATTGATATTGGTCGGTAATTCTCGATGTTTGCTCTGTTTCCTTTCTTGAATAGTAAAATGACCTCGGAGTTGTACCATTCTTGAGGAATCTTTCCTTCATCAATTACTTTATTAAATAAAACATTTACTATCTGTTCCATTTTTCTGCCACCAATTTTCAACATTTCAACTGTAATCTTATCCTCTCCCGGACATTTATTCGTTTTAAGTTGATTTAGGGCCATTTCTTATTTCTTATTTCATAGTCGGTTATGTCCGGTATTTCTTCTGAGCCGGTGTTAATTATTGTTCGTTGAGTACGTCGTTGTTGTGGTTGTGTATTTACCGAGTATAGTTCAGTGTAGAATTTTTCAATGGCCTCGCTTATTTCCTTTCTGTCTCTGACGGTGACGTTTTTCTCATTTTTTTATTTATATGATTTTTGTTGTGCCGCTTGAGTTTTTTGCTTTGAGTACTTTCATGTTGCAGTTATCTTGTATTATATTTTTTATTAGATTGTTATTATAGTTTCTATGATCGTTCCTGATTTCTTTCTTCACATTTTTGTTTAAACTTTTAAAGCTGTCCGAAGTTCGATCTGTTCTGTTTCGTCTTTCTTGGAGTAGTTTAATTGTATTAGGTTGGAGTTTAGATGTTTTGGCTGTTTTCGTGTTTCAGCATATTTTCTTAACCGATGTTGTTACAGTTACTTTTATTTTAGTGGCTAGTCCGTTTATATCCATTTGTTTCAGTGTTCAGTTTCAGTTGATTTCCATCGGTACATCTCCTAAATGTATGTTTGTTTAGATACTTGTTTTCTTTGTTATTATCATATATTTAGTCTTTTTTATATTAATTTTTAGTCCATATTTTTCACAGAAACTGCTTGTCTTGTTTAGTAGTAGTTGAAGTTGTTCAGCAGATCTTGCCATAATCACGATGTCATCTGTATATCTTATGTTGTTAACAGTTCTTTCGTTAATTATTATTCCTTCACTTTCAGATAGCAATGTTTCTTCAAAAATGGATTCACTATTATATACAATGAATAGTAATGGAGACATAATATATCCATGCCTAACTCCTCTCTTGATTTCAACTTCTGAACTGGTTCGTTATAACTAGGTTATTCCAATTAGTGCTCTTTGATTCCAGTAAAGGTTGTCATTATTCTTAAGTTCCTTTTTACTATGTTTTTTCTCTTTATAATTTAGACTAACTTTTTATGTCCTACTTTGTCAAATTCTTTTTCCAAATCAATGTAACAAACATGCACGTCCACATTCATATCCATGCATCTTTGAACTATCATGGTGAATCTATCAGCCCGAAATCTGCGTTATTTTTATTTTTAACTAGATTGTTTATTTTTCTAAGATAACTATAGTTACAGTGATTTATTTGTAATTTAGAGTATCAATGACAGATTTCCGTTATAATAGCTCTCTTGACTCTATTAAATCTAAGGCAGCCACTGCTTTTTTGCCGAGTTGTCTTCTATGCCAGATAATTGTCGTGCCAGTCGTCCCGTGGATCGGGTTTATGGTGGGGCACAGGCGAGTTACCGATTTCGCGGGTGCGAAATCAACTAAGCCTATTGGAAAAGAATGTCCCTAAGGGGAATTCCTTTCCTTTGGAATATAGTGATAAATTCTCTCTTCGGGAAATATAGAGAATCCTATGTGGAGATTAATGAACTAATACGTAGAATAGGGTTGACATGGGCAGCTTATGGAAAGCTAAGAGATGTTTTCCAATCAGCTCTTCCCATCTGCTTGAAGAGAAAAGTGTTCGATCAATGTGTGCTGCCGGTTCTAACCTATGGTGCGGAGACGCTAACACTTACTAAGACGTCCGCAAACAAAATTCGAACAACACAGAGGGCAATGGAACGGTCCATGTTGGGATTAACCCTAAGAGACCGAATACCCAACACAGAATTGCGCCGTAGATCGGGAGTAACCGACGCAATCAAAAGAATATCAACCTTAAAATGGAACTGGGCAGGGCACGTCGCGAGAACGAAGGACGGCAGATGGACAAAACGCATTCTTGAGTGGAGACCCAGACAATATGCCTTTAGGAATAGAGGACGACCACCAACAAGATGGACGGATGACCTGAAACGGACACATCAAAATTGGATGCAGGCGGCTCAGGACAGAAATTTGTGGGGTGAACTACGGGAGGCCTATGTTCAGCAGTGGACGAGTATGGGCTGAATGATGATGATGTGGAGATCTTACTATGTTTTTTAGGGGAGCGAATCTAAATAGATTGCATAACTTTGCACGAAGCACACTTCCGAGTTTTGGAAAAGTGGAGTCGGAACTTCTCATTGAGATTCAGTCCAACGGAGTCAGAGGTCGTACTCTTTACGTGGAGGCGGAAATTCCACTTGGAACCGTTGATACTAGATGGTGGTATTGGAGGAAACTGATAGGGCAAGGACAATGGATCAAAACCTGCGTCCAGCCGCTAAAGCGCAGCCGTTAGCAAAAAAAATCCAGATAATCATGAATCTATACGAGATATATAATACCTTGAATGGTTTCCACAAGTGCAGGTTAACTTACGTAAAAAGAGAACTTCATGACTATAGAGAATGCTAGTGTTATACTTACTTGTAATTCTATATATTTCTTAACAACATTGTCCTTATCTAATGTAAAATTTGATCCCATTTTTTCTTCTAAAAAATATATCCTAAGCTTAAGATGAAAGTTTTCCTTTTTAAGGTTGTTAAGTTGTTCTTCAAACTCCTTGACAGACCTGCCCCGCATTGGTCCACTGGGAGAGCGAAGACCCATCGTATCTGAAACAAAAATCATTAATCAGTAACTTTGTTTTGTAGTGATAATTTCATTAAATTGGCAAACAGCTTGTAAATATAGTTTAAAAACACTGGATGTGAAAATATACTTTTTTACATACTTTAATAATCAATTACAATGTCAATACCTGTATCACAAAGCGCTTTATGATGATACATATTTTTAACCAATGTTAAAATGAGATGAGTGACGTTCTGTATCGAAGGGTGGCACATACGCAATGAGTAATGCCAAACCAAATCCATATACTTTGACAGTTCACAATACAAATTTCAAGATTAAATCTTTTTAAGAAATTTAAAAACAACCAGGGTAATAAAATTGTCGCCTTAAATTAATTTTAATAATATTCAAAATATAAATTTATCTACAAAATAATTAATTTAATCATCTAACTACTTAATTTGTTTCTGTACAAAATAAACAAATTTGAATATATTTTTGTTGTTTTGAATGATCGTAGAAAAAATCATGTATACTACTTGCATTAAATTGCCATTATGATGCTCATATCCCTCATACTCACATCATACTGACCATCATTAAATGCTCGTTGCATAATATATTATTAATTAGTACTTGTCTTGAAGCATTCAGCTCTAACTCGAACAAATCTCATAAAACTTAATAAACCCTGTCTCAACAAACCCCATTTTCGACATATTCTTAACAAACTAGTTTCATAGTATGGTTTCCATATTGGTAATAAGATCGACTTAAAAAAATTCTCAGAATACTGAAACCTCAATACTCCGGGAGTATTGGATTTTAGGAAGTGTAAGACTTCCAAATTCCAGAAGAACTGGAAGAGAGCTGATGAAAATACTAAAGATATGGCTAAGCTCAGAGGAACAAAGTTAAATGGCCAAAGAGACACTAAATCTCAAGTGAGTGTTCGGGCTAGCTTCAATGCACTGGATTGTGGCTTTAAAGATATAAACAGATAGCAAGGATACTGAGCTAATGAGACAAGAAACGAAATGAGACCTGGTAATATCAAACGTGATACAACTGAAGAAGGTCACTGGGAATAAATTTATAGAAAGAGAACAATAAGAAGAGAAAAGAAGGGCGCCAACTCAACGATAGTTGAGATTTTGAAGTAACAAATGAATCTGGAGATAATACTCTGAAATACAAAAATACTAAATAATAATCTTGTTTTGCTATGTTATATACTGGTTAGTAGAACTGAAATAAAACTCAAAATAGTAACAATAAATATATTTATAAAAATGGGTAAATCGATATAAATGTATTAACAATTTACATATAATACAAAAACTAAATAACAGTGGTAGTGGGTGTGTAAAGGTACAATAGGACCTAATAGCCCCTCAATAAGCGAATAATCACTACCACTGGCCAAATAAAGTATAAAATGTCAGTAAACAACAAGAATAGTCCGTATTGTAGCCAAAGTCTTAACACAAAAAGGTAGTAATTTAAATTTAACTAGTTCGACTAAAAATGAGATACAAATTAGAATATTGTAAAGATATCAAACTTGATAAATCTGTTACAATTCTATTAAATATATTACATCCAAAAAGTGAGTTGTTCCATACTCATTATATATATTTAAAAAAAACCACATTAAATTTATGTCCCTCCCTCAATATCAAATTGTATTATATTAACAAAAATATTATATCAAAAAAAAAAGTGAGTTTGGTCAGACTCTGTATATCCTATTTAAAAACCCAATAAAAACATGTAATGTATTTTCTTCTCCCCAATATTTTAGAATTAGATTATATCAAAAATTAAATTATCACAAAGGTATTCACCTTATCATATGCATATGATGAGTTAACAGTAAATAGAAAGGTAGTAACAACAAAAAAAAATTACACAGTCAAACAACTTATCTTTACAGCCCCATAAGTCCATAGGAAAATTCCTCTTGGCACGTTTACATCAGTTTGTGGCTGTAAAGACGAATCCTGGGCACAAAAGCCACAACCAGTCACTGGTCTCTGGGTGACAGCAAAATCCACGGGTTACATACACAACTTGCTAACTGTCTAAGGAATTTAGTTACTAATCCTTGAGGGAATATTCTGAAGAGAATATCCTCAAGTGAAGTGACGGAATCTAAAAAGGTTATTTAATTTAATAAATATGTAATTTAATAGGTGTAGCAGCATGGATTGACTGCACCAAAACAAAACATCAAAACATCAGGTATTAGGTTAAGTCAACATCATGTCAAATTTATGAAGTTACTTTCGTAGGCATGGCAAGCTTGCGCCATGAAATGAACATGCGCAGAATACAGAAGGCTGTACCACATTTGTAGAACCTTTTATATTCCACCAAAAAAAGTTAGGTAAAAAAAAAGAACCAAAAAACTTAATGATAACGACATGGACTAAAACAGAATTTAAGTTTAACTATATAAAAAAAATGACCTTATGTTCTTTGCAAGTAAATCAAGGAAATTTTATATTTAAATTATTTCGGAACTCAAAAATAAATCTCTAAAGAAATACTAAACTGCAAGGATAAATTTGATTGTATGATAAAGAGATAATACGTATAAAATGATTTACTTACATGGAGTCGCAGCACGCCAAAAAAATCTTCCTTTTATGTGGAACTCTTTAGATTATTGATTTTAAAAAATTTTACTTATTATTATTACTAAGATATGTATTTTATTTATGAATTAATTTATTCTTCCCCAAATTATCTTCCTTGCTCCAATTCCGTCACTTTGAAGGTGAAAAATTTCACCGGTTGACGTGGCTGCGTAGAGTTCTGACCAAAACTGACCGCTTCGCTTCCGCACAAAATCGATCAATCTTCCTTTTTAAGCGACTACTGCGCGTGTGGGGAAAAATGTCGATTTAAAATCGATCGTAGGCGGGTAATAAAAATTTCTTGAGGGGTTTAAATTGGACTAGTCAGTAGCGTAAACGCTACAATACGCCTGTAACACCAATTTGAAATGCCTTTCAAATAGTTTTTACGCTGAGAATCGAGAGAAATGGTCCAAGTTTCCATTTTATAAAAAAAATTGAGATTAAGGTATTTAATTTTCCAAGATAGATCTCGGTTTTTGAAGATGATTCCCATATACGTTCAATATAACCAATGTCTTCTTTGTATTAAGTTCATTATTAAGAGATTTTTTCATCCTAATATTTTAGAGCAGAGATATAATACATCAGAGTTCTTTTAATTGAGGCTGCAAATGTTAACTGATCTGTTTTTAAGTTAGCTGCTATATAAAAACTTGGTTCGTTATCATCGATTTTAACAACACATATATAATATAGTTTTATTAAATCCTCGATGGAACAGTATGCCAATGTCCTTCACTTCAATCGCTGGACCCATAATTGATATGACAGTTTGATGATGTATCAAAACATGGATGTGCTTCGTATCGTGTATCGTATTAAAAAGTGTAAAAACAGAAATTTGTACAAACTATTGGTATTTAAATGTAATTTGATACTTACATGTTAAACAAATAAATCGTTAAAAACAACGTTAAATATATAAACCGATAAGATAACTATACCTATATGTTATGAGCGCGAGGACTGGGTGGACTGAGTAGCTCAGAAACCACGTTCATGCTCACAGTCTGTCTCAAGCCCGTATAGAAGAGAGGGTTAATGACTCAGTTAGCAACCTATCCTTTGTAAAATAAAACATGGTTCAAAGAACCGATACAAGGCCTCAGAATCCGACGAAATACGCAGGCCAATGAAAACCAGAAGGACAAATAAGCCTACAATCAGATTAGCAACATAGAACACCACTTATTTCAACAACAAAGACCAGAAGACAGTAGAAGAATTTATAAATAAAAACAAACATATTTGTGCAATCCAAGCGACCAGACGAAAGTTAAATGCCAAAGATACTATAACCAATATATTCTTGCATCGCTGTAAAGAAAGAGGAATGAGCAGGAGTAGCAACTTCAAAATTTATAGACAACATAAATATTTGTTGTTATATCTCCGAAAGCATAATACACATGAAGTCACGATGGACCAACAAAAATTAAATATGTAACTCTATAGCCCCGAGGACTTTCCGAGCCAATTCTACGTAAAATTTAATGCACGATTAGGAAATCAAGTAGTGCTAGGAGTAAAACAAAGATTTTATTGAAGAGTATGTCAACGCAAATCGATAGCTCATGACTAACCTCTATGCTTTTAACGAGCTGAGAATAAACAATCAATTTTTTTACCATAACCATAAGCCTTTATCTAAATATACTTGTAGATATTTCAACTTTAAACGTAGCATATGCAAGTAGCGAATACAAACATAATGGGGAACAGAGAGACCAATAATATGTTATACAGACGACGCTGCACTAATGATGATCTCCAAAGATTATCGCACTTTTTCATAATCTCAGCAAAAAACGCAACGTACGAAGACATCGAAGAGAAAATAATAACGCAGGAAATGCAATTTAAATATCTGGGAATAGATAGGTATCTAGAATAACTAGGTATGGAAATATTGAAGAAGACATTCGACAACAAGTCTTGAGAGCAAATAAAGCGGCGGGATCGCTTAATTATACAGTCTAAAAGAACAAGCACCTAAGACAAGACACAAAAGCAAGGATCTATAAAACAGCAATTAGAAATATAATGATATACATGGCGGATATGAGAACCCAAACATCCACAACGAAACGATTGCTAGAAAACATAGATTTGAACACCCCGAAGAATATCAGGGAAAAGCCTACTGGGTAGAGAGAGAAGCGAGGACATAAGAATGGTATCTCATGTAGAAGACAAATACATGGGTAACAAATCGGTTGACTTACAATATGGATAATTACCAACAGGTTGAACAAGCTGGCTTTCGCAAAAGATATCAGACATCAGGTATCAAACCATCTGCTGACAATGAGAACACTGATAGAGAAGGCAAATGAGTACCAACTACCCGTATTTCTTGCGTTCATAGACTATGAAAAGGCATTTGATAGTAT